ACCTTGTTTTGTCTCATATATTCAAAATCTTATGGAGATTATTTAATTTTAATTTAAATACGTGCCAGTTCTACTGAAATTATTGCAAACCTTAAATTTTAATTTCTACTCAATTTTAGGATGGATGGACCCAATTTAATTATGCTTTGTGTTGAAAATTTTGCTTCTGTTCGGATTTTGAATCATAAATATCTACTTTTACCACACTATCTGAATCATGCCATATTCATGATCGATTCATGCTCGAAAATACGCTTACCGTTACTATAAAGCTCAAATCCCCCCATTGATTGAGATTATACAAATGCTCTGTGTGTCTTTGTAGCCCAGAAAACCAGATTTTGAAAAGAAAAGACACAAACGAAAGGTGCGACTTGGTAAATTAATAATAAATAAAAGACAGCAATTAGTGGCAAAAACATTGGTTACTTTATGAGATCAAGGTCGGTGTTAGAATGTCTTTTTTTGAAAGTAGTTGACATTGTGAGGCTGTTAATCAGACGAGCCCACATGCTCGCATATGCCCCATGTGAAAGCTGTCAACGCTAATGCGCTGGATAAAGTTATATTGGTAATATTTAAGATACACCTCTTGACGGCTGCATGCCGAAAACGACAATGGAACCGAGCTTATAAAATGAACATAAATTAAGTTTCAATACATATGCAGCGACTGACCAAATGTGGAGCATATAAAATAAATATAAATATTCAAATGACAAGCCATGATCTGCAGCATCATGGACTTTTATGACTAGCAACGACTCCAAATGAGACCGAACAGGAACGAGTATTGAAAGTGCGAACACATTAAATGTAGCCCAAACCGATATGCTGTACCCATGACCTTCAGACAGACTTGTCGCAACCACAGTATTTAGGTCAATTATTTTTAGCCGGCAACGGCAACTGAACGTGCAGCAAGTGTCTGCTTTTCATGTGAGTTTAATGCGCCCAAAGTCGGGATTGATGGGTCCGACTAAACGCTGGCCAACCGGCCCGTCGCTCGCTCCAGCGGAAGCCACTTAGGCAGCATCGGCTGTGCAAGGAAGTGCGTCGAGAATCGTAACAAGTTTTTCTTTCATTTAGAGTCAACCAAGCAGCAGAAGGCACCCGACCAGTTGGATACGAACAGCCGGTTCCGACAAAAGGCAAAAAGGCAACAGAAAAAAAAAAATAAAACAAAAAAGGCAAAATAAAATAAAGAAAGAAGATTATGTTGCCTTTAAGCCGAACTCTGGCTTGCTCTGCCCAGGCACTCCTGACTCTGTACCTGCCGCATGCTCATGTACGAATACGAGTCTTTATTAAAAGCATTCACAAATCTTATAAATGGAACAGCATGTAGCCGATGCTTATTTCGTTGATTTCCTTTGGCGCTTCATTCGCGCTAGTGATGCACCACTAAATCACGCCAACTGCCAGATTGAGAGTGCGGCAGATATCTCTGAAAGCAGGCAGGTATATCGGAGCAGTTAACATGGGTTCTTATTACATACACCCTTTTCTTTTGGCGTCTTAACTTATTGGATTTCATAGTCCAACTAATTTTAGAAGAATATGTACTCACATTGCTTAGAAGGATGTACATATAATATTAATAAAATCAATATTTAACTAGCTGTAGTACTCAAGCATAAATATCCATAACCTGCCTAACTAGTACGAATTTCAAGGAATAGCCTCTCATAATTACTATCACAACTTAAGAATTAAGTATCAATGTTATTTAAAAATTATTTTCTTTAACCAATTTACTAATTAACTATTGCGGAAACCAATCAGCTTAATTTATATGCACGTAATTAATACCTGCATGCGTATGAAAATTAGCCATTCAGTTAATTATAAATTATTATTAATAATTAGCACAAACTAATTGAAACTAGGTTATACGGATTGATTACTCGTGACTGGACATTCGTGAGACACGATGTGCATTTTTTTAGCCTGTGCAATATTATAAAAAACGTGCCCAACCCTGGCGTATACGCAATATTTGTAGCCATCCAAAACGTCGACACATGCTGTGGCAAGGTCGTTCCAGGCTATTTTGTGGACTTTTGGTTTTTGGGGAACGCTTTGTGATTTTGTAATAAATGAATGCGCTGATATTTAATCGACTTTTTAAGTAGTTTGTATCATTTATAATCAACTTTTGGATATGATTTATTGTTCGTGTTTGGTCTGTTCTGTTGCCTTAAAGTAAGTTTATATATACACATAAAAGGAGCTCTTTAAAACTATTTCATAAATTATTTGCCACATAGAAGCATGTGCATGGAATATTTGTTGTCAAGCTGACCGCGGAAACTTGGAATGTGCTAATGAAATAATTATCCGCCAAAAGTTAACAATTTGAAGAACTTGGAAAACCGGCAAAAAGTCAAACAAAAACTAAAACAAAAGCCGCACAAGCACAAAATTTATACAATTTATGGAGGCAATTCCCAAAAAAAAAATAAAAAAAATTTTACCAACCGAGCCGACATTATGTATGTGTGAAATTCGCGGCAGGGCCGACAATGAATATGGCGATATGGATGTCTTTCGAGCGCCGCAGTTCAGGTTCAATGCTGAAAACCATAAAACTTGTTGCTATGTTTTTTTTTTTTTTTTTGGCTGGTAATTGGTAAAGTGACTATAAATGGAGGGGTACTCGATTTCAGCAGTATTCATTCTCGCATCGACTGCAAAGTGACAACAAGCACAGATCCCAGCCCAACATGAAGTTGGTGAGTTTATAAGCTAAGAGCAATTGCAGGAGCCATTTTCACAACCAACCTTCTGCCTTAGTTCATTCTAGCCGTAGCAGCCATCCTAGCCGTCGCCCAGGCACGGCCAGACTCCTTCGATGCCAACGCCGAATTGCGTGAGTTCAAGAGCGACCTAAAGGAGGACGGCAGCTACGAGTATCGGTTTCAGACCTCGAACGGCATAGCGCAGCAGGAGCAGGGCGTGGGCGGCCACTATGCGAGCGGCTCATCGGCGTACTACAATCCCGATGGCCAGCTGATACAGCTGACCTACACTGCGGATGAGAACGGCTTCCATCCACAGGGCGCTCACTTGCCCACGCCTCCACCGATTCCGGCTGCTATACTCAGATCGCTGGAATATATTCGCACCCATCCGCAGAAGGATCAGCGACAGGGTCCTGTGCGCTTTTAAGCGTTGCCCTTGCAACTATTCTAGTTTTCATTAATTCTTACAATTTTTACTTTTTAAATATTCTGGAAGCGTCAAGCTGTCTACAGGATAACTACGTTGTACCAGCTTATTTTTGAGCTGCCTGGAAATAAATAACAACTTCCATCAAAACTTTGTATTGTTTAGACAACTTAACTAAATCCCAATTAATAGCTCCAAATATGGCATTTCCATATTTGGAATTTTAACAATGCTATTGTTAGTTGTCAAACTCATCCGAGTGACGCGCATGATCGTAAAATTCGTTTAATTAGCATGCAAATTTCCGCACATTGTAAAGAAGAATGGCTTATAATAGGATAGTTTTCTTATAGTTCGCAACGCTATAAAATTGATGAGGTAAGTGTTTAGTGCAACTCGGATAACCAGGAAACCAAACTAGTTCTATAAGTCAATCGCTTGGAGCCAGAATTTAAATGTTAAAAGTCGAATGCATATTTCTTAGACAACGTCTCGTATTTCAGTTAGTGCATATGTTTAAAAAATGGTAGCTTAAATATGCCAATAAATATACTTGAGAATCTTGCTTTCCTCAGACAAAAGAACCCTAAATATATTCTGTATTTATTACGCAAATAATAGCATTTAAAAATAGCGTTTAGAAATTGGGTTTCAATCTACACTGAGCTACAAGCTCATCCAAATTAGAAGAGACTCTCTATTTACGTAGACAGGGTATTTTATGTTCAATGCATATGCGCTGCACACTAAACAAATAAAACATATTTTGAATTATGACCCTTCTATGCGATTCTCAAGGGTTCAAGTAAGCCCTACTGCTTGCTTTGTCATGTATTGTCATGCTTTGATGAGAAGATAAGAATATAATAGGCTCTCATTAGATATGTATTTATATGCATGTGTATGTTTATATTTCTGCTTAAAAATTATATTTCAATTTACGCTCAGCTACGAACTCACACATGTGAAAAGACCTAATGCCTTGTGATAAAAATAGTATCATTTGTATGTTTAAATTTGAGCATTTTTTAAAGTTAATCTTCAAGAGCTACACATTTTGTAAGATAGTGCTATTTAAACTTGTATCAAAACTTTTTGTTTATTTGGAGTGTTAGATAAAGTTTCACGCGTCAATTTAGAGACCTATTCGAAATCTGTGTGAACTCTTCGTTTGAATATGCGGCACTAATCTAAATGTTAAAATTCACGCAAAACTGAAGGCACTTTATCATTCATAAACTAGTTTGTAGACTTATTAACATTAGCATACGTTGAGTATGGGCGTTTGATAAGTCTGGGTCGCTTAACTGAATGACCATATAACTAATAAGAAATATATTATACATTGTGCATACTAAATCGTTTGTTTAACTTTGATTAATATAGTTAAATGAAATTTAAGTATGTCACCCTTTACCTTTTAGTACAGGCTCATAGCAGATTACTAAGAAATTCTTATATTCCGATATTTCTTTTATTTCGGACACCATCAAACAAATTTATGAGCCTGATAGGTGCTATAAAAACAAGCCTACAAATAAAATTTGGTAATCAGCTAATCCATCAAATTGAACACTCAAATAAAATTGAGCCGCCACAGGTCTTGTCAGGTTTTAGTTTACGATATAACTAGACGTAAATCCTGTTTTGATATCTCATTTTGGCCATTAAATTATCTCAATGTTGTGGACCAATTTGTTAAGCTCACACATTTAGCGCCTCTCCAGCGACGCGGTGTTCAGTGGTTTAAAATTCTCTGCCCAAAACCGGACAATGAAAATGGAAATGAAAAAGTAAAACCAAGCCAAGCCAAAAAAAAAAAAATGTAGCATGCGCCGGTCGACTGAAACCATAAATTATGCTAAATATCTATAGCGAAATACACAGACGCACACATTAATTTAGTCAAATACTTTTTTGGGTGTGCCGGGTGAACCCCTCCCCGGTCTCTCACAGCAGCGGGCCAGGGACCGGCTCGACATTGACACTGCTGCATGCGGCGTTGCCTTGCTCTTCGACGACTTGAGGCGAGGGTAAGCCCACTCACAGCGGATGGCTTTGACGTCCAAGCTGCCTCCGCTGCCGCCGCTGCTGCCGCTGCCGATGCGTACACACATTCTCCGGTTTTGGCCAATTCGGGCTATTGGCTGATTTTATTGTTATGGTTATTTAGATTAATTTCCTGAACATCGACGTACAAACTGTCGAAGCGATCAGGTTTTTGAGAATATCGTATCACACGTCGGTTTTTAGTATAAATTCGCTTGCCATCTACCACCAAGTCAGCACACTATCTTGTCTACCAGTTCAAGACACACACAACCTCCACAGCCTTAAAGATGTTCCGCTTCGTAAGTATCAAAGTGGCGATTTACGAATCACAGGACCTGCTAATATAACCAGAACTTGTACATTGCAATATTTTAGCTTCTTGTTGCCTCGGCTTTCATTGCCTGCGCCTATGGTGCTTCCCAGAGCGACGCATATGCCACCGGCAGGAGCGACAGTGATATCCAGCCTGATGGTAGCTACAGGTTCTCATATGATACCTCCAATGGAATCGCTGCTCAAGAGCAAGGAGTTGGTGGATACTCTACCAGCGGTGGATTCTCTTACTACTCGCCAGAGGGTCAACTGATCCAGACTTCATACGTTGCCGATGAGAATGGCTTCCAGCCTCAAGGCGCCCATCTGCCCACACCACCACCCACTCCCGTAGCTATTCTTAAGGCTTTGGAATACATTCGTACCCACCCACAATACGAAGAACCCGCCCAGGGTCAACAATTCATTCGCCGTCAACCTCAGGTTGTCCGCAAGCCCTTCTTCGGTTAAGAGTTGAAAAGTATTCCAAGTATTTACAAACTAAAAGCTTTCTTAATGTGTACATATGTTTTTTAATAAACGAACCTGATGTGGAGTATATAAACTAAAACTTGAATGTTAAGCTGTTATATTAAGTTGTTTTTACCAAAACATTTGATGGTGCTTTACCAATCATAACTCCATCTAATAACTTAAATTAAACTTTTTGTCCTTACCAAATGACAGGCTGTTAACTTATTAGCTTATTGGTAATTAACAGCCCAACACGATTGTCAAATATTCAACAAAGGCATGCTCATTTCGATATAAGTGAAATTTTTGTGATGTTAATAACAGTGTCTACAAACTAAAAGTGTAATGTGAATTTAAAATGTTTAACGGCCACCCTCCTCTGCGATTCTCAATAATTCAAGTAGGAAAAGCTTACATTTGCATGTCATCTCAGTTGTTTTTTTTTGTGATGGTTTTATCAGTAGCTATATACTGAAGTTTAAACTAAACGGTCGCCCTGCTCTGTGATTCTCAAAAATTTAAGTAGGGCTTGTGATGGTATTAGTATGTTATATGGGATTTCTTAGAATTAAGGCCAGGCATATGTACGTTAGTTTAACTGACATACGTTGCATATTTGTTCAGGGTCATTTATATTAAGACATAAGAACACGTTATATGGACATAATATATTTAAAAAGACCATATTCAAAATAATATTTAGGTTGTAATTCCAATTCCCATAGTTTATTACTAAATTTTAGCATAGCCTGGTAAAGTGTAAAACTAACGCGACTTTAATCAAAATTGATTAAAAAGTAATTTAAACACTTAGTGAACCCTGTTGGGCTCAATTTGCGTAACAATCAGCAGCTTTTGACAAAATTTACAAGACACGCAAATATTAATCGCATTCAAGTCCATTTTCAGCTTCCACCCTGAATAAGTGTAACGCTCGCTTTTGCATTTCATTAACATCAAAACTGGTAAAAGCTGAAAAGCATCTGTCCAATACAGCTGCCCATGCTGGTTCAACTCAAGTGAGAAATTCGCTGTAGAAGTAAGTAAGTATTAAAAAATAATTGAAAGCATATAGTTTTATAACAAATTTGATTTATATCAAGAAAAACCTTGCTCCCAAGTGAAAGAAGTTGCCAGAATCCCAAATACACCCTAGGAAACGGTCTAATCGATATCCGCTTCTGGTATATATACAAACAAAAAAACAGAAGAGATTATAGTAAAACGAATAACTAACGAAATTAAAAAATATTTATCATTTACTAGCTTAATCTAAGCATGGTGATGCGTTATACTACATTATCTTATTTCTTGAGCTGAACTCTTGTGAAAGGATGTTCCTGGATGTATGCCAATGCCCTCAAGATGTAATCTGGAGTTGGAGGAGGTGTTGGCAAATGATCGCCTTTTGGTTGATAACCATTCTCGTCAGCTGTGTACTCGAGATTTATAGGTTGTCCATCGGGAGCTGTGTATTGTACGGATCCTGTAGCATAGGCACTTCCCACTCCACTCTCGGCGGCCTGAATGTTGTTTGAAGTCCCATATTCGTAGCTATAACTGCCATCCTCATTGATCTCAGATCTATACTTGGTGATAACGGCATCCGACTCGTCGACTGCACCGCTGCTGGCGATAAGGCATAGGGCCGCAAGGATAAGACTCTGAAAGAACATGATAATATTGTATTCACCTATATTGCACAATATTCAAAGAAACTTACGGCTTTGTACATTTTCTTTGTGATTTGGTAAGCTCAGGCTATTCGTACTGCACAGATGGCTACTGCAGGTGATACTGGTGTCGAAATCAAATAGACGAGACTTTTATATCAGCCTTAGCTGGAACGGTGACCTACACCTACAACACAAGGGCTCTATCGTAAGTATGCATATTTTAATATTTGTTTTTATGACACGGAATTATTAATTTACGCATTTCAAATATGAATCTGACCGCGTTCAACGAACGTGCGAACTGCAGTGGCATATTTGTGGTTATAGAAAACACGCAGTTTAATTTTACGTTATTTTATGCTATTGTCTTAAGCATAAAAAAATGCATATTTATTCCACATACTAAAGGCCATAACTCTTTGGCCCTTGCTCATAATGTATAGGCAGCTATTCATCTATACAATTTATTATTATGTTAAGCTTTAACAACAATGTCTTTTACTTCAGAGTTTTATATAGTTATCTAGGTAAGTCTATTTTATATTAGATGCAGAAAGTACTAATGTAAATTTACATAATTTGTTCAGTTGACATTTTAAGTTTGAGACAGCAATAAAAAGACTATTATAGTCTTTTTGACTACATCTAAAGAATTTACAGCAATACTAAGACTACCAATTCATACATATGTGCAATACTATAAACAAAGAAGCTTCTTTGTAAAACGTTCGATTTAACGAAAGTGGACATTTTCTTAGCAAAAGTTGTTTAATATTTTTAATAAACAATACAATTGTTTTAACCAAGGCAATTGAGTTGTGCAATTTATTGCAATGTGTGCGATTTAGTTGTATTAAAATCGGTGTCTGTTTAAGCAAATGGACATTTTAAAACTTACCGTTTCGATAATATATCATTTTTAAATAAAATACTAGTTGGTATTTTCAATTGTCATCGGATGTAAAATCGAATAGCTATACTGACATCGCACGATAAATGTTAAAAACCAACCGATACATATATATCATTCGATAGTCGCGGTATCATTATAGCTTCATACTAACATTATGGGTATTCACTAATCAGTAGACTATCTTTAAAAACCATGTTACTTTTAAAAAAATGCCAGTTGTTTAAATTAGTTAACAGAAACCTTATTAAATATTCTGAGATGAATACACAGTTTTCCCCTGACAACACAGCGTTAAAAATTGTAAAAACATCGCAGGTTTTCGATCACTAAAAAATCGACTAAGCAAATAAATTTGGAACTATCGATAGTCTCATTGAATGCTTTGCAGTTCTTCGAAGCAACCCTGATTATCAGGCCTGATATCGCAATAAAAGAATAAAGAAGTAAAACGTAAGAACTGCATTACTGCCAAAATTAATTTATACATAAACTAAATTATGCCAAATTATGCACAATGCAAAAACAGAGAAGTGAAGATGTGAAATACATAAGTTTTCTATAAAATATGAGACGTTAAACTTGATATATAAGCCTTTTGCACACCAACAATTTTTCTTACAAGCGCGCCATTTTGTTTTTGGACTTTCTACTTCTCGCTGTGTTTTCTTTTGTGTAAAATAATAAAAACGTTCCCGTTTGCCTACAAGAATATAAAACTGTCAATTGCTGGTTTAATAAGCAAGCAAATATGTAGGTGGGAAGCGTTTATAACAAAAACGCGCGACAAATGAAAATACATATGTATGTATGTACATACCTAAATAAAGGCTGCTGAAAATGTCAATACGATGAATAAACGAAGCAGCGATTAGTACGACGTCGGTCGTGGTCGTGCCTGAGGCAGAAGCAGAGGGTCAGACGCGCTAATTACGTCATAACAATCAAAGAAAATTCAAGGTCTCCCTAGCGCACATCAGACATAAAGCCTATGTATTAGATTTCGCTACGTTTTCATTAAAAATAAAACTTAAGGCAAAAAACAGTACACAGACTTTCTGTTAAATTTCCGAGCATCTGTCAGTGTATGTACATGTTGAGTGTTTACGTATGTGTGCGTGCGTGTGCTATTCGCGACTGTATAATTACACACATATACAGTTATTTTGTTGTTGCGAGTGCTGTTTTTGTTGTAAGCAGCCTGAGCGAGCGCGGCGCAGCTTGTGATACAGAAAGAAAGAGCGAAAGAGTGCGCGCGTAGGCAAGAAGAGATAACTTGACACTAACTCAAGAAAAAGAAGAAGAAAATGCTAATCCAAACAAATTTTTATATTGCTCTTATCAAATAAAAATATATGTATGTGAATGTGCTTTTATGTAAATGTGTGTACATGCTTATAATATTTATTTCGCATTTATTCCCATTTTAGCAGTACATAAGATGCGTGCATCTTTGTATGTGTAGAACGGTGCGGCATAGAAACCGCCGCCAAGCGCTAAAGTTCATATCTATGTATACGCATATGCATGTGTACATATATACAAACAGACAGTGAGGAGAACAACAACAACAGCAGTTAAAGGCGCCCCCAAAAATAATATTGTACATAAATTTTAATTAAAGCGAAAAAAACGAAACAGCAACAACAACGAAACAGAAAGGAGAAAACAAAAATCAATAGGCGATAAAAAGTGCTGTTATCAGCGTGTTTTCGTCATTTCGCTTTGGAATTGAAATCGTTTTCGGTTTGCCTTGGCATTGTTGGTATCTCATTGGTATTCCGACACATCGTTGTTGCTGCCGCGAAACAAAGTACGCGGCAGCGGCAACAGCATCGCTTACTGTTGTTTGGGTAGTCGCTGACGCCGACAATGTCTGTGCAGCAGTTCTGCCTGCGCTGGAACAATCACCAGCCAAACTTCATATCCGTCTGCTCTTCCCTGCTGCATAATGGGACGCTGGTGGACGTCACGCTTGCCGCGGAGGGCCGTCAACTGCAGGCCCATAAAATAGTGCTCTCCGCGTGCAGCTCGTACTTTCAGGTGAGTGAATGTCTTTCAGAGACGTTTGACGATTATTTAAGATTGCATCTTCTTTTTTTGACTTTTAACAGGCGCTATTTACGACGAATCCGTGCCAGCATCCGATTGTCATACTGAAGGACGTGCAGTACGATGATCTCAAGACAATGGTGGATTTTATGTACTACGGCGAGGTGAATGTGTCGCAGGAGCAACTGCCGCACATACTCAAAACGGCCGAGATGCTCAAGATAAAGGGCCTGGCCGAGATGCCCACGGATCCGGCTAACCTCACCAAGTCCGACAGCAAGTCCTCCAGCGAGGCCGCCGAGCTGCTTGGACAAGCTGGCGCCAATGTTGCTGGCACTAACGCTGGTGTGGCCGCTCCAAGTCTGGGAGCAGCTAGCGGTAGCAGCAGTGCCGGCGACTCGCTTTGGAGTAGCAGCGAGGCGCAGCAGTTTCAGCAGCATCATCAGCAACAGCTACAGCAACAACTGCAGCAGCAGCAGGCGCAACAACAGCAGCAGGCTCAACAACAACAGCAGCAGCAACAACAGCAACAGCAGCAGCAGCAACAACAACAGCAGCAACAACAACAACAACAGCAGCAGCATCATCACCACCATCATCATCACCAACCACAACAACAGCAGGGCAGCCAAGCGCAGGGTTCGCAGACGCATCATCATCAGCTGAGGCGAACGCCATCACCGCTAAGTGCTGGCACCTCGCCGGCCACACGGCGCAAGCGCTTGCGAAAATCCTCAAATAACGGTGAGTGCGACTTGGGTAAAGAATCGTCGGCCAGCTCGTGAATATAGTGGAAGCAAAGGAGTTCAACTAATCTGTTTACGGCTATTTATGGCATATAACAGGCTCTGGTGATCGAAACAACTCGGAGGAGCAGCATAACAGCTCCTTGGATGCAGCTGGCGCCGCTGGTAATGCTGCTGGCCTAAGTCTGGCACAGATGAGTCAAATGTCTTTTGGCGGTGGAGCCGGCAGCAATTCGACCGCGGCACTGGGCAGCCTCTCGGGCCACTCGATGCATGCTGCCAAACTACTGAAAGAATCGGCGAGCAATGAGCTAGAGCAGCAGCCGCAGGACTCGGACCTAGACGACGCTCACGGGCACATACATATGCAAATTGTAATGAAATTGGTCACGTTAAATTATTATCCAGCTCTACGCATTTTACTAAACTTATTTTCTTCAACATTTATTGCTCGACGTGCAGAAACCCGAAGTGGACATCGGCAGTGTGAATCAGTCGATGCCTCTGGACATTTCTGGCACCACGACACCATCGGAACACGACGCACCCAATTCACAGTCATCACACTCTGGTAAGTGAAAATTCGAAACTTAAAAGGCTCTGCCCGAGCTGCAATATGCAGTGTACTTATAAAAAATAAATCGCACAGTAGAACAAAGTTAATCAAAGACACCCAACATTTTATTATTAAATACAAATGATTGTGCGATTTATTTTTCAATTGTACCTTAGATGCTAAATAGAAAAGAAACACTAACATAAAAATCATACGCCAGATCATGCTTCATTAAGGGGTTGTAATTTCTATTGGCAACAGGCTGTCCGTACAAGACGAGTCGAGTCGAGGAGTTTTACTTGGTCCCTTCGTTTTGTGTTTTTGTTGTTGATTTTGCTATCATTATCATTATTGCATTCTTATGAATTTGCTCAACTCTAGCTTCTCCTGTTGTTACTCTGCTATCGCTCATTCACATGTCATGCGTTCCATACACACACACACACACTGTCACAACAACAACACACACACACTCAAACACTTACGTTCAATGAATTTAAGTGCGATCCAAAGCGCTTGGAGAAATGAATGCTAAAGCTAAATATGAAACATAAGCATAAAGACTACCGTTTATCGATTAAGTGCGATTAAAAATAATTGTGTTACATGAAATTAATGCATTTGTATGTACATATGTGTATAATTAACTATTGTGTATTCTATTCAAAAATGAAATCCTACCTGAACTTGGGAATGGGAGAGAGCTAGCACAGAGTCCAAAACTAAATAACTGTATTTTACTGATTGATTTTTTCATTTTGTCAATTTGATTACTAAACTCTTTTGTTTGCCAATGATTTTTTTTTATAAATTTCCAATTTTTTTTGGGAAAGCATTTTGAAGAGCGGTTTTCGAATGATAATGATTTAGCATTAGCAATCTTTCTACTACTCGATACCGATACCAATACCATTCTACTATATAAACTGTACCATATCTGTTGTCCAATGGTTTGCCCCTATTTCTAGTCTCAGATCTTGGCCAAATGTTGAGCCCCGTCCCCAAATTGAGAGTAAATTTATAGAGAGTAAATTTCAATTTCAAACTCCTACTAAAGACAAAACCAATCTTACGCTGTCACTCTCTCTCTCTCCCCTTCCCAGGTCTGCAGTGGACAGTTGTTGATTCAAACTATTCGCGCTTCTCGATGCCCGCTTGTCAGTCCAACTTGATTGGCAATGGCAACGGCGGCAATCAAAACAGCGGCGCGAATAGCAGTGCCGGCGTTGGTACCGCCGGCACCAACGATCAGCGCCAACAGCAGCAGCAACAGCAGCACGAAGCCCAGCAGCAGGCCACGCAGCAGCAGCAACAACAGCATCTGCAGCAGCTGCACTACCAACAGCAGCAACAGCAACAACAACAGAGCGCTACGGCTGGTCAGGCGTACTCGTCGCAAATCATAACCGTGAATAATTTGGTCAGCGGCTATGCAACGGCAGCGCAAAATTTGTCACCCACGTCACCTAACGAGTCCAATATGGTGCAGTCTGTTTACAGTCAGGGGCCGACGCCCACACAGTCGCCGGTGCACTCTGGTGTGGGCGGTGGCGGCGGTGGTAGCAGCGCGGGTGGAAGTGCGGGCAGCGCAGGCGGCGGCGGCAATAGCAGCAGTGGTGGAGGGGGCGGCAGTCAAGTGGTGAAGCGCAAGCGATCGGTCAACCCGCAGGGTGATGAGAATTTCATTCGGGCTCTGGAAGCGGTACGTACCGGTGGCATCGGATTCTGCAAAGCTGCTCGACTGTACGGCGTGAACAATCGCACTCTCTGGTTGGAGTACAAGAAACGCGGCTACCCGGTGTCGAGGCCTAGCATTAAGGCGCGCGTGGTCAAGCAGGAGCCAAACCTTTCGCCCTCGCCAACACCATCAACGAATCCCGGCGACGATACGACCAACGAAACATATGATCATCTAACAGCAGCTGCCGTTGCCGCGGCCCAAACGGCTGCGCTCAACATGCAGATACCGCCACAAGCAGAGACGCCGACGCCATCGCTGATGTGCACTCCACATCATGCCAGCGCCGCGGCGGCCACTACAGCCGGTGGCACTAACACGCATCCAGCCATCGGCGTTATGAGCCTCTTCGATGCACGCTACATGGACTCACCGACAAACGTGCACACGATGTCTCGGCAGCGATATATCGATGCGACGGGTGCCGGTGCAGCCGCCGCTGCCTCGGGGGCGGGCACGATCAACGTAAATCCGGCCGCCGCCATGAATCTACAGAGTATTAACTTCAACTCAATATAGAATACGATTTCAAGTCACATGGGCGTTGTTGCTGCCGCCGCAGCAGGTGTAATGCCTCTGCAGGTGGACCAACTGAGCGGCGGCGGCAGCGGCGAGTCTGCGCACGGGCCAGGGCCAGCCACGTTGCTGCAGGCCGCCGTTATGGCAGCAAGTGAGCCAGAACCAATGAGCATATCAGCCGTGCCCGTCTCGGTCTCAGCAATGGGCACTGCGCATAGCGCAGCGGCTACCGCGTTTATTTTCAATAATTTTGTAACTGTGGCGGCACCACCACCGCCGCCACTGGTTGCCAGTACGCTAGCACCGCTGGTTAACACTGGCCTGCAATACTTAGACAAATCCTAAGATCCCAGGCGCTGCAGTGCAAGGTGTAACTCTCGATACAGGTATTAGAGCAACGGCAGCTACTCTAGTGAATTACAGGCATTAGGCATAACCCACGGGGTTCGGAATCGGCAAATGAGTTATGCCATG